AAGTACCATGATCAGCCTGAATCAGGTGATCTACAACCTATCCCACCGTCATTACCTGACTGCTTTCACAATGTGATAATCTCAACTATCTAGTACCTCAGTAGATATGACAATCTCATAGACGATGTAGATGCAGCAGTGTGCTCTTGGCAGATGCTATCATCCAGCTCCCATTCCTCCTGGTAGTCAACGACTACTAGTTTTCCGGATCGGTTGTCTACGATTGGGGGCTCTATTACTGTCCTGTGAGAATACTCAGAGTGTGGGATTTAAACTCAACCGGTCGCGAGCTGGAATTTGCTATTTTTGACCTAGTATGAGACTATGAGCTGCGTGGGCGACGGAAAAGCAACGCAAGGTATCTCAAAGGATGAACCTCGATTAGGCTCCTCCATTTCAGTCTTGGCACATATGCATACAGTAGATAGTGGATGAGGTTGATGAAACTTAACGGACTACGCCTCGATTTTAGGCATCTCAATTTTCGTGCAGACCAGATCCTGAAACTAGCGGCATCGAGTTCGACAGCTTCTGAAGATTAAACTCAGACAGTGTCTTGATTTAGCCTGGAGCTATTCCATCACAGGAAAATTCGATGCATTTAAGCTAGTGGCTGTGAAGACTGTTAGTGTAGTACTGTGGGCCTAGATGCATAGTGGACATAGGCGCATGCCACAACGTTGGGTCTCGCTTCTACAACAATAATATACTGGTGATATCAGGCGATCAGTAACTATCAGAGGATACTAGCGAACGCACCATTCGATCTCTCTTTCAATACTACCTAAGTACACTGCTTGATTGCTCAACTCACGCCCAGCAACCATCCCGACTAAATACACGTTCCTATTCAATTCTCTCAACCCAGGTAGGGCTCCAAGATGTCCAACATGCCCACATAAGCTGCACCGCTCGGAGGCTCCATGTTGAACATATAGTTTCCCCACCAGGGGCCAGCCGCCCACCAGAGGGCTCCCTTCCACACATCCGTGTTCTGAGCCAAGTACTCCAGCATTCCTGAAATAGCGGTCCGGCACTGATCATTGACGCCACCAGCGAACTCCCCGATGATGCCAACCTTGCCGTTATCCTTAAGCCACTTCGTTGCGGCCGTGACCCGTTCCTTACCAATCGTGGTAGACACGCAGCTCTCCGAGGTGCCGGATCCATCCGAGTCGAGATACTGATGCATCTCGTAGACGATCTTATCCTGGGGATCGGTCAGAGCCTTCAGGTTGTCATTGACGTCGACCCAGGTCCAGGCGCCGCTCCAGGAGTTGCCCTCCACGAATATGTATTGCGAGGTGGCTCCTGCGGCGCGGATACCGTTGATGGCGGCCTGGTTGAGGTTCAGTACCAGTGCCTGGTCCATGTCGTGATACTCGTTGTCTAACATCTCGGGTCAGTGAAGCTCATGAGAACCAAATGAGTTAGCCATACTAGTATCAAAGATGACGAGATTGTTGGACTTGAACTTTCCAGCCAGATTCTGCCAGAAGGTCTTGAAGTCGTCGGTGCTGGAGATAATCTGACCATTGCTGAGTGGCGTTAGATCAAGTTCACAGCATGTTAGGCACTACTCACTATCTGCCAAAGTTGTGCGGGTCCAAAATGGCATAAGATCCTGCCTTAGTGACAGCGTCCACAACCTGGTCGAGTCAGCCTCATACGTCCAACATGCTGCTGCTCAAACCCACCGATGTCAGATTGGCAAGGTACTCCTCATTATAGGAGCCTGTCATAGAGCTTGGCACCAATCTCTCCATGAGGAATTGAACCCGGAAGATGTTCATGCCCTTCCCGATCAATGTGCTGATTGTAGAAGGGTCCGGGAAGATGAATTCTTTTCCCTTGATGTTGTTAGCAGCAGTATATTTCTTTTAGAAGCACAACATACATAAGAGCCAGGAATGGTGTTTTGGCCAAACTCGGCTCCAGACTCATTGCTTCCGAACCCTGCAGTATGTCAGCGTCCCTTTAATCCAACGTTACCACAGGGAACCAACATTGAAAAACCGAAGCTCTCTTTGCAGGAGCAGCCACCGCGGAGCCTGCCGCAGCAGCAATGAGCACAATGCTACCGAACTTCATGGTGACCAGAAAAGGATGTTCTTTAGAGACCAAAGATAAGGAACGACTCAAAGGGAACGACTCAGGCTTGACTTGGTTGCCGAGATTCGAACAAGGGGAACAAGACCTGCTATATATTGTCTGGCAGACCGAGCCAGGCTAGCTGGGCTAAGCTCTGACACTTCTCTGCACGACCTGTCTGTTAGGATCGCGGGTCATACCCCCGAGGATTCTCCACGGCGTCAGGATGAGACTAATGGTCCTTCATCAGTCGATTACCGGGTTGTCGGACCGTTACATAAACTGCAAACCTCCAAATCACACTCCCACTAACAGCATATTGCAGCGTTGCAGACTGCGAATCGAGTATTGATCGGCGGAACCTGACAAGCGAGGCAGAAATCGAAGCAAGAGATGGGCGGATGATGCCGAAAGCCTGGAAAAGAGTAGACGTACATGGCTGCTACAGCATAGTGGATCCAGCAACCCCATACGGAACCTTGTCTATGTCTCTATGATAATCCCACGATTCGGGTACCGTCTTGGCGACTTTGAAACGAGCCGGAGATTGATTTCTTTGAGGAGAGGAAGATATTCGGCAGTGATCGTCGTGTCAATTGTTCCGGGTAGATAAAGGACAAACGGAACGTCTCCTCAATCATGCCCGTGGCATTCTGGGAAAGAGATTGACATTCTGATGTACAGAAGTTGATGACCGGCAGGCAACCTTGAATAAACGTGTAATCTCCCAAGGTTCTTGGTGTAGACCTGAATTGTGCGTGCGATGGGCTTTAATTGATTATTGGTCCCGATTTGGCATAACATATATTATCGAGTCGGAAGGGGAATTTACGCAAAAACGAATGCTCAAACAAACAAGACAGTGGTGTAATTGAAACCAATTCAATATGATCATTGTCGCGCAACTCTAAATGCCATTGATTTTCGATCAACTACGTTTCAACATTGACGTCTTGGTTCCTAGTCATGGTCTGTCATACCCAACTGCAAGATTGACCAAGCTACGTTATACCAAATCATAGTACTGCTCAAGAATCACCACGCACCAAGGGGTGCCAGACTAGCCTTCATATCCTCGGCCTGGCGCTGATGATACTTAGTCCCAGGATGGTAGTCATTCCACCAGACACATGACATGCCGTTTTCATTGATGCAAGTGGCATCAGGGAAACCGTAAACGGTAGGATTGTCGAGAACCTTGGTCATGAACGACCACGAGTCATAAAGAACCGCAGTGACCTAAATCTGTGTCAGAGTGACAATCACAGGGCAGACAAAGTAGCACCTTACGCTGGTATTGTTAGACTTGAACCTCTCCACCATGGTCGCGAGCTGCTGGTTATAGAAAGCTAGATAAGCCGCCGAGTGCTCAATTGCCCAGTCGCCCTGCTGGATGAACATAGGTGTCCTGTTTATCGGGGGAACGTTGACAAAGAGGAATTTGCGTCCCCCGGAGCTATAAATGTCCTTTGCGAGGTCTTCAAGTCGACCGATCAGCTGCGGAACAAATGTCGAAGCGTTTGTACGGTAGTATGCATTCCCGATACTACTCCCAAGTCAACATCTCACCCCAGTCCAGGCAACAGGGAAAGTGAAGCGTCACGTACTCATTGATCCCAATCCAAAATGCGAAAACGGCATCCTCGAAACTCCACGGAGCAGAAGCCGGCTTGCTGCTATAAGTCGCATCAAACGTCTTCACTTGCCCAACAAGATCGTTTGCAGTGCTCCCAACGAGCGAGCCATTGATGGTTGCGCCTCCAACAGCGAGATCGTAGCTCAGGACGAGAGATGCGTTCTCTGCGGTCGTCAGATATCCGACCCAATTCACGCCTCCTGCCGTCGTTCCAGTACCTGGCTTCATATGAGCAAGGGCTTTGGGAATCAGAATCATGGAGTCTCAGTACTCACCTAAGGCAGGGTTGCCCATGGGATTGGAGGCAGAAGGTTGTTCACCAGACGTACTGAATCCGGTTTGGGAGTATGAATCGCCACTGCGAGATTAGCCATACCCAAGAATAGGATAGGGAGAGCCTCCTACAATGTAAAGAAGTACGTCGTCTCTAACGCCCGTTTGATGGGGGTTGCAGCACCTGTCGAAATGGTGCTTGCCACCAGCCAGAGCAGTTGAGATTTCATCTTCATGACTATCCTCGATAAAGAGCAGTAAACCTCCCACACTTGAATAAGTCGTCTTCAGGAAGATCTTCATGTATATATTGGCGACGGTTCTTGTAGTGACCATAAAGGTACCAGAATCCACCAATACAACGCCATCCCTTGCGCCGTGCACCTTGGCTTCATACGTAAAAAGTCATATACATCTGTAAAACATCTCATGGTCACAAGGCCCCCAGTGGTACGATTTATTTACCCGGTGATCCTGATTCTGCACATCAGCGACTCGGCGGACAAGAGTCACCCAGTGAGACAAGTCACAGAATATCAACCCCAGATTGCTATGCATAAATCAAACTGCGGGGTAAATATCCGGCAATAAGGAGATGCAAGCCATAACTATGACGATCATCATTACTTTCTTCATCGTGTGTTAAGTTTCAACATGTGCCGTGGCTTGCAGAGATGAAACAGCACATTAGTTCACAGGGGACTTGGCTATTCCGCTTTGGTCACGGAAGAACAAGCGAGAATGGAGAAGAGATAGAATGTCAGAAATTAGAGAGGACATTCTTGTAGAACAGGATCTCTGTTGTATCAACGAGAACAGTTTTGATTCTATGCGGAGGAGGTCTATGGACATCGGCACACAGTGAGAACTGGCCAGCTGTCAGGTATATGTACAAGCAGCGGCAATTCCTGCTATACTTCTAAACAATTCAAGATGCCAAAAGCTGGGTTCTATACCAATCAGCCATTACGTCGTAACCTTATGGAGCGTCGAGGTGGTGCTAGTACAGCTGCACGCTCAACAGCTCCATCCCGACGCCACACACCAGCAACTTCGTCCCTGACTCGTCATGCATCAAGTCCAAAGACGATATATCAGCCACAGCGCTGTACTGATCAACTAGATTCTTGACTCGAATGGATTCCGGTCCGCTCTGCGTGGCATCCACCTCCGCACCCCAGACCTTGACCCGGTGGTCGTTGCCCGAGGAGGCGAAAACAATTTGCGCTTTCCCCTGGCAGTCTGACTGCCGCTGTTCAAGTATCTTGACGGTGGTGACGGAGGCGGCATGTGCGTCTGAAATTGTGATCGTGCACACATGACTGCCTGCATCTGCGTCGGTGAAGTCTACTGATAGTAGTGAAAGCGTGAGCGCATTGTCATCCCCTCCAGCGACAATCAGCGACGTTTTCGCAGATATACGGGCCATCTCCAGGGATTTGATGCTGTTCGAGTGGATTTGGTACCGATTCTCGCATGCAATGTTTGGTGGAGAAATAGATAGCGTCTCCAATGGCTGCTTCAAGCGCAAAGTCGACGCTGACATCCAGTAGTAAGGCTCTAGAACAGGGTCCAAGTGCCACAATGTAAAGTGTCCGTCCGTGGATGCAGTAATGAGCCCGATTGAAGAACCCTCTACGAAGAACTGTACCTGCGTGAGGCAGTTGCTTGTATAGGCCCCTCGTGCTAGGAGGGTAAAGCGACCCCCATCTACCAAGGAGGAATAATGGAAAATCTATAATATTAGCAAAAATCGAACAAGGAGACCAGAGAAGAAGCTTACCTTGATCGTGGAGTTTGACAATGTCAGGCAAATAAGAAAGCCACCATTAGCGTCTTCCTCCACATCCAGCACGTCGAAGCTCGTCACTCGCAGCTCGGACGTCGGGTCATCCTTGGGACTAGAGGCTGCAAGAACGGTTGCCAGACCAAACGAGGGAATCTGCCGGACCTTCCAGACAAACAGCTCCTCGAACCCGGCGCTAGAGAAAAGCGTTTTTCCGTCTTTTGACCAGATAACTTGCTGCACTCCAGCGGTATGGTCTCTAAGAACACGCAGGCATCTGAATGAGCCCCATGGAGTCTTGTTGCGCTGATGAACAGGCGCAAAAATGCGTAAATGGGTATCTTCTGCTCCAGTGGCGATGAGAGTCTCCCGCTCGGACGAACGAGATACCTCCATCGACTTGATTTCTCTGCCGTGGCCGCCGGCACGTAAGGTACGGTTGATTCCGGCCTGTACCCGAAGAGCATTGAACCCCGATTGACTCCAAAGGAGTATTCCAGCCCCAGGAGTCTCATGACTCGGGTGGAATGCCCAAATCCGACGTGCTCCGCCGCAGTCGACTCGGGCCACCGCAGTGTGAGTCGTTTCATTCCAAAGGATAAATTCAGTGCTCTGAAATCCATAAAGCATAAAGTCTCGTGATTTTCGATCGATATAGATTCCCTCAACGTTCAAGTGAACGGCAGGGGAGGAACGATGGATTGTACGGAGGCGAACATCCGCCCCTCCCAGCGCCTCCAGCTGATGGATGCAGTAATCGCCATCTCGGCCACAGGTCATGAAGTAGTCTGATGAGATTTCCGCCTCTTCAAACAAAGGTGAGAACGGCGTGATCTGATTAACGCCCTCTCGACCATGGACTCTCAGAGCGCAAATGATCGGCTGCAGAGACGCTCCAGTTTCTGTAAGTCTGTAAACTAGGAGTGCGCCGCTTTTGATTCCCAAGGCCAGATACTGGCTAGAGATCCAGGAAGCGCAGGATACTTCCATACCATGAGGTAAAGACAATTCTGTCTTGACAACTTTAGGCTCGGCATTCGCTTGCATGGTGACCTGAAAGAGATCTGCTTTTCTAAGTGTTGCGTAGGATGTGGCGAACGTGAGAGTCGCCGGGCCTTCTGATACGTCAGTATCATACCCAAGGAAGTACAATTGTAGAGGTCTGCCATCCGCTTGTACAATTTGGTTCAACAACCCGGTACCGTGAGTATAGAGTCGAATCAAACCGCGTGCATTGCCAAGCAGCGCCACTCCCTTCTGTGGTAGACTGGAAACTACTGAAAAAGACCGGAGATCGTCCTCAACATGCAGAGTCTCCTTGAAGATGAGCTGCCCTTTACCACTGTCTCTCCGTATCGAACAGAGCTGGATCTCACCTTGGAACGTAGTCGCAACGAACAACTCCGGTGAGATAAATGCGAAAGCTTTGAACGACCTTTCTCTTGCAGGAACTGTGTTTAGAGAATCGCTTGAAAGCATAATGCGATCATCCCTATTCGGTAATGAGATCGACGCCGTATCATCTACGTCTATTTTGAAGCTCCTGACAGAGCCGTCTGCACCTCCAGTGTAGATCGTCGTTTGTGTCCCGGAGCTGCACAAATCGAGTGACCATATATGTTTGCCGTTGTGGAGATGAGGAGACGATAACTGGGTCAGTTTGAATTCGGTCTTATGTGTTGGCGACAGACTCCAACTCAGATCCCACAGAATACACTTAGCATCCTCACCACGAGACACAATGGTCAGTTGGCTCTGATTCTCCACCGTGGTGGGCACGAAATGAACACCCCAAATTCGTGCTGAATGCCCGAATGCCTTTGCAACACATGATTCTGAACCAGATTTATCATCAGTTGTTGCAACGGCACCAAACCCTGTGGTCCGTAGCTCGAAGCCATCTGTCGAGTAGGCAGAAGGATCTTGACGGGATGCATGTTCACAGTCCGTGATATCCCATACCCTCACAGTTCTATCATCACTACAGCTAGCCAAAAGCCTTCCTGGTTGGCCTCCCGGTAAGGAGCTGATAGGAGGTGATATCCGAACCCCGAAAATAGAACCTTCGTGGCCAGTGAAAAAGTGGTGGATGGAGCCAACTGCATTGAGCGCCAACGGTTGACTCTCATCGTCGTCTACAAAACAAGACCAGACTATGATCTCGCCAAAGACGGTTCCCGCAGCAATTAAAATGTGAGAAGACGACAGCGCTATAGTGTCAGCGGAGAAAAGAATGGACTTGACACCCGTAACCAGTTGCTGTAGGTAAATCGTGTTGACAGAATGAGAATTCTCTACCACATGTAGACTGAGTATGGCGTTATGAGCCGTGACCACATAAGCTCGGTCTGCTCTGCTGCTCTGGTCGGGCGAACATCCAGCGAGAATCCAGTCTGGGGCCAGATATTCCGCAGTTACAGCTTGCAGAGAAACTTCCACATCTCCAGAAGCATCATCTCTAGCCAGGGACAAGTCAATGACCCTTAAGGAGCTTCCGCCCCACACCACGAGTCGAGTGTATGGTTTCTCAGCTTCGTGCCGGAGTTGAGTCAGGAGAATGAATCCATGGACATTGTTTCTCCTGAAGGTTTTGAGCTTTGCCAGTAGCTGCCCACTCTGCTCTTTGACCACTTGACAATAAGGCCCTTGGCCTTGAAGAATGAGCCTCGTGTCTCCCAAAACCAGCGCTTTTAGCGCAGTTACGGGGAGGCAGGCATCAATGTGCTGTGTTGCTGGTCAGCACTAGGCTGTCAACGGCAAACCTGATATTCCACTAACCTCGAGCGAGGAATGCATTGATGTCACAGAAAGACATCAGTCTTATCTGCTACAAAATCTAATTCAGGAATCGCGCATTGATCAATTCTTCATTCGCCGACTTTCCCCCGCGCGGAGACATCAATTCAAAATTCTAGAATTTCTTATCGCAAGTGAGGCGATTATGTAAGGCTTCCTTATCGGTAGTCCATTCCTGAAGCGGGTTAATTACTCACGTGACATCGCGATCCTCAAAGCTGCATCAGGTGGCGACGTGTAGGCATTTGTCAATACGAACTGCAATATCTTCAGCCGTTGCGACGTTGTCGGGTTTTCGGCTTGCTCAGTCTGCATGAATAACTGGCTGCATATAATGTAAACGTTCCCTGCGACTTTTACATCAGCCATGTTGCCTTTTGTGCCAGATATTTCTTGGCAATAGTACCACTTCAGCTGTCTTGTCAGCATGGGTGTTACGGGCTTGTGGACAGTTGTCCAGCCATGCGCTCGACCTATCAAGCTCGAGACGCTTAACAAAAAGCGTCTCGCAGTTGACGCGTCAATCTGGATATATCAGTTCCTCAAAGCCGTACGAGACAAGGAAGGTAATGCTCTACGTAATTCCCATATTGTTGGCTTCTTCCGTCGAATATGCAAGCTGCTGTACTTCGGCATCAAACCGGTGTTTGTTTTTGATGGTGGAGCCCCCGCCTTGAAGCGGCAGACGATTGCCGGTCGAAAGAAGCGCCGGGAAGGCCGCAGAGAAGATGCAGTGAGAACGGCTGGGAAGCTGCTTGCAGTGCAGATGCAGCGATCCGCAGAAGAGGAAGCAGCCAGGCAGAAAACGGGAACTTCGAGACAGGATGAAGAGGAGGTGCCGGACAACCCGGTTTATGTTGAAGAGACCTACTTGACAGAGAAAGAGAAGCGGCAAAGCCGAGCGTTCAGGAAGAAGGATGCGTACCATCTTCCAGACTTGCACGTTTCGTTGGAGGAGATGGGAGCTCCAAACGATCCTCGCATTATGTCTCGCGCCGAGCTGGAAGAATATGCGAGACAGTTCCACCAGGGCGAGGATATCAATCTCTACGACTTTTCCAAAATTGACTTTGACAGCCCCTTCTTCATCAGTTTACCTGCTACTGATCGGTACAATATCTTGAATGCTGCCAGACTTAGAAGTCGTCTACGTATGGGCTACTCCAAGGAACAATTAGACAATATGTTCCCAGACCGCATGGCGTTCTCGAAATTTCAGATTGAGCGTGTCAAGGAAAGGAACGATCTCACGCAGCGGTTGATGAATTTGAACGGGATGAACGGTGAAGAAGCCTTCTATAACTCAGGGCAGCGAATCGCCGGCGAACGAGGAAGAGAATACGTACTCGTCAAAGACAACGCAGTTGAGGGCGGCTGGGTACTCGGTGTTGTAGGCAACAAAGGTGAAGGTCATGCCGATAGACCTATTGATGTGGACCGATACGGCCAGAGGGACGTGATTTATGACCACGAAGAAGCTTCAGATGGGGATGATGGTGCATTCGAGGACGTTCCTATTGAGGGTCTCAACCGACTTCCCAAGCTTAATTTCCCTCAAAAAGACGCATTCGACGAATCGATTGAGAAGCAGATGACCGGTGTTTCCAGAAGGCGCGATTCGTTGTTCCAGGAGACTCAGGATAACTCCCTCTTTGTTCAAGACGGTGACCTAGAAGATGCACTGCCTCATCAGCGCCGCCACATCGATGACGTCCCTGGCGGCACTGTCGACAGTGAAGATGAAGATCTCCAAAGAGCAATCGCAATGTCTCTGGAGCCCTCCGCTTCTCGTGTCGAAGACATGCCAGATATCCCACTTAACCGCAACGACGTGCCTGCTGCGCCGCCAAAGGAGACTTCGCCTGGTCTTGCAGAGAGTGATGATGACGAAATGGACTTTGCCGCTGCATTGGCGCAGTCTCGCAGGACGAAAAGGAAGCCATCCAGTTCAGTTCCCCGTCCAGTCATGGACCATCCATTCGAGGGTCCACTTCCTTTTGAATCTATCAGATTGAAACCTTCCAAGGCGGAAAAGCCTCCATATGAGGAGCTTGACGAGGAAGCGGGTGGGTTTGAAAAGGAGTCCGCGAAGAAGGAGGAAAGCTTGCCGCTGCCCCCTTGGTTTTCGGGGGAGCAGCTGAATGAAGAATTCGTCGTCGATAAGATTGACAACACCTCATTGGAAGCTTATCGGGATAGAGCGATGACCCCAGACCATCTCTTCCTGAAAGAACATCGGTCTCCGGATGTGATAGATGTGGATAAGATGCCAGGACCGGAGGAGGTTATCGACCTGGAAGCAGAACCGAAGACGGAGAAACTCGATACTGCAGTACCTTCAAGTACAGAAAACGCGCAAATACAGTTGGACGATGTTGCAGTACCAACGATCTCCGATAAAGATAAGGCAGTAGAGGAAGTGACGTATGAACGGAAAGCTACAGACGGCGAAACCCCCTCGACCGAGAAGACCGAGACCAAGAATGTTGCACATGACTCTCCATCCCCTGAGCCCGAGTTCGAAGATGTTACCATACGGACAGAAGCAAAACCGACAGAGGTTACGGTGACCGGAAACGAGCCTCAGACCTTTGCCGAGAGTGATCAAGCACATGTGGTTGTCGAGGATGACGAAGACTTTTCCGACCCAGAAGACGAAGAGTTGATGCGACAACTTGCTGCTGAAGGCGAAGAACACGTTCGATTCGCTGCCACGCTAAACAACAATGTGCAACAAAGCAGCACATTTGACTACGAGCAGGAGCTCAGGCAGTTGCGATCCCAGCAGAAAAAGGACCGTAGAGATGCAGATGAGGTGACGCAGGTCATGATCACCGAGTGTCAGCAGCTCTTGAGCCTTTTTGGCTTGCCCTATATTACAGCGCCTATGGAAGCCGAAGCTCAATGCGCCGAACTGGTCTCATTAGGCCTGGTCGACGGGATCATCACCGACGACAGCGACATTTTCCTCTTTGGCGGCACTCGCGTTTACAAGAACATGTTCAACCAAGGAAAGTTCGTCGAGTGCTATCTCACCTCAGACATGGAAAAGGAATATGCGCTTCATCGGCGAAAGCTCATCAGCCTCGCGCACCTTCTTGGTAGCGATTACACAGAAGGGATCAGTGGCATCGGGCCGGTGACCGCGTTGGAAATCCTCACGGAGTTTTCCAGCCTACAGGAGTTTCGTGACTGGTGGACACAGATTCAGACGGGGATGTACGTCCCCGAGACGCACGCAGCTTTCTACAGAAAGTTCAAAAAGACTGCAACCAAGATCTTCATCCCTCCTACTTTTCCCGATCCGCAAGTAGATAAGGCGTACCTCGAGCCCGTGGTCGATTCCGATCCATCTCCGTTTCAATGGGGCGTTCCCGACCTACATGGGCTGCGAAATTTCCTTATGACCACGATTGGGTGGAGTCAGGAACGCACGGACGAGGTTCTTTTACCAGTCATCCGCGACATGAATCGCAGAGAACAGGAGGGCACTCAATCCAACATCACCAACTTCTTCAGTGGCCCTCAAGGAGCCGGTGCATTCGCGCCTCGCGTGCGTTCGGCAGGCCAAAGCAGAATGGAGAAGGCATTCAGCCGTCTACGGCAGGAAGCCGGAGCGAAGACCCATCAGTCTACGTCTACGGGAGAGACAGATACTGGTGCAGATGGCTCTACCGATGATCAAACAACCTCCAGAAACAGTCAAAAGAAAGCCAAGGGAAGGAAGAGAGCACAAGCCAAAGATACCATCACATCTTCTGCTGATGCTGACGGTGTGAGTATGACGCCGAAGAAACAAAAGACACGACGGTCAACGAACAACTAGATATGGCTGCCTGCTGCCCGGGTGGTCCAGCAGACCCACTGTTCGTCATGAAGTTGCAGAGTGGGGGATCAACGCGGCCAAGGATCCTGAGAGATCTGAGCGATCCGAATGCGGCGGGTCGATCACCCGAGGCATCAATCTGTATCATTGGATTTGTCTCAAATACAAATGAACATAACCTAATAATATATGTAAATATCTGATCTACTGTGCATGATAGATCTCGCAGTTATCGTTTACTGCTAAGGCATGCATAAACCTCGTCTACAGAATGTCCCTGAACCAGATGAAAAGATGAGGAACAATATCATCATCATCGTCATCATCATCCGACTACACTAGATAGTCATGACATGGTTGCGTTGGACAATCTCCGTCCCATTTTTTTGGCCCTGTCGATGACATCAGCAATCGCGGGCTTCTCTTATCGATGACGTCGCTGATTTTCTGCCATTGACTATCGCTGCCCAAGGCACACTTCACATGTATGACCGCGTGAGCGGCAGTGTTCAATGTATCTACGAATTGGCATAGATGTAGGTAGTTACAATGTCCTTAAAATGCTGATTCGTCAATTCAGCTAGTGAAAAATCTATCCAGTAAGCTCGTCATTGTGATCCCTTCACCCTTGGACCGAGTATTAGCTAGCTTCACAGGTTACTTGGGGCAGCTCCCATACAAGTGCCAAATCGGGTTTAGCGACCCTCGATCGCGACGTCACTTCTCGTCCTTCACGGAGAAAGCTCCTAAGCTCCTCCTGCAGCACACGAGCTGCTCATCGCCTCCCTTGATTAAATCTCGATTTACTTTATCGAACTTGGAGGGATCCATCTCGCTGGAGACAAGAGGATAAGAAGACGAGACATTTCAGTCCCCACAACTTAATCCCAGAATCATCTGGCCACTACTACCTCTCCCTCTCCCTCTTAAACTTACTCTCTACACTTTCGTCACCTACGCTCTTCTTGATCCGGTTGTCATCCCCCTTCCCATTGAAATTGTCCTCCTTTCCGTGGCATCCCGCTGTGCCTTTACAACACGTCATTCGTGCGCAAAAGAAAATCTTTTGAAGTGAACCGCTCCGCTCCGTTTTGAACTCACCTCTACCTCATTACCCCTCCTCGCTGTATATCCTCATTTTGTTCGACTTCTTCTACCTCGTCAGTCTCTCGCTGTCAAAAAAGTATCATCCACCATGCATCGCACGTACTCTATGCGCCAGTCGCGCGTTCCCACGGCGTCGCAGATTGAGAACCCTCCTCCGCCATTGTCTTCTACCAAGACCAACAGATGGCTTGGGAAAGGTGGACTGGGTGCGTTGATTCATGCAGTCAGACTTCTTGGAAGTAGTAGTTTTACTGACAGTTCTGGTGGTAGGCCATGCTTTTCGCAAGAATGCCGCCGGTGCCTTTGGACCTGATCTCGCTAGGAAGCTGTCTCAGCTAGTTAAGATGGAAAAGAACGTCATGCGTAGCATGGAACTGGTTGCTAGAGAGCGTATGGAAGCTGCTGTATGTCGTCGGCCTACACACATACCTTTCAA